CCCCAAAACCCCAAAACCCCGCATCACAATATAATTGAGTTTATTGATTAATTATAATTAACAGGATTATAGAAAAGGATTCTTAAGTAATAAATTAATAATTATTATTTTACATAAACCTAAACTCAACTATATCTTGAAATTTTACGATGTAAGACTTAAAGGTATTTAATTAACAAATTCTTTCTTAGGTCAACATTAAACAAAAAGAAGAATAAGTTAAGTAGTTATAGAAATAACTAAAGATAGAAATCAATTCATAATACCTATTGGGATGAGGATGATGATGATGAGTTGCTTGATTACTATGTCAGAAAATCTTAGAAGGAAAGCGAAGAAAATCTTAAGGAAATCCAAGAGTTGATAAAGATGCAAATTTGTGAAATAATTATGGCTAATAGAATTCATTTAAACTTCGGTTTCATAGATATCGTTTAACATTGCTAAAGCATTTCTGAATTCGCAATAAATCTGCTCAAACAAAAGTTAAACAATTAAATGGATTCAAATGAAATTTTAAATTCATAGAGCAAGATCTAGACATTTGAATTATGCAAAATTATAAAGAAAATAAATCATGAGTAATCCCAAGTGTAAAAGAAAACTGATGTGGAAGAAATAATAACTTAAGAGCCTTAATAGATAAAGGTATAAGTTAAAGAATTAACTGAAGAATTAAAAGAAGAAGAGGATTTAATTCTCTAAAATCCACAGGAGATTTTATAGAGTGAATAGAAAGTGCCAAAAATAAAGAAATAGAAATAAATCTTTTAGAAAAAGATCACTCTAGATTTAGATTCTAATATTGCCAAGAAACTTGGAATCGAACAAGAAATATGGAGTTTAAAGAAACAGGGAAAGAATATAATTAAGTATCTAAAATTGAATTATAATCAGTTAAATGCAACACTGAGCTCAGAGCAAGAAAGTAATGTTTAAAAGTAAGAGTTAAAAATCAATGGGCTAAAAATCTTGAGCGAGACCATATCAATAAAAGATGCAAAACCAAATGAAGATCTTGAAATTCTGAGACAATTCTTTTCAGCACATCCGAAAATGAATAGCAATATTTATTTAGAAGCCTAAAGTAGAAAATCAGAGGGTCATGGATTCAATAGAAAAGAGGCAATTATAATCTATTGCTTTGAGAAATATTAAGACTAATTGTAAGATATTTCACAGAAATTAGAGAAATTTATATCCCAAGAAATGAAACAAGAGTATCAGTTGTTTAATGTAGACAACTATATAGACAGAGCAAGAAGAGAACTTTACTATGAATATCTTTAAAATTATCAAGTCATTGAGGATATTCTTCTAAAACATGAAATAATCACAGATTTATCTTATAGTTAGCCACCTAATCTTTCCATTACCGGCAAGTTTTCTAAGAATTAATTTGAGAAAATAGTGTGTGAACTGATTGATGTGCAAGATTCTCTCAATTTATTTAAGATTTAAGTGCCCTGTGACTTCTGCTTTGTTTCTAAAACTTAATTTCAAAAGTAAGGCATTTAAGATCAAATAATCGAGAAGTACTAAGTACTAATAAAGTTATTCAAAGAAATAAATGGCCTCAATATTTACGAAAACTAGACATTTTATATTGATGTAGCGTATGAAGGAAACATCTTCAACATTCAGGAGTATGTGATTGTTGGGGATCATCAAATGGTAAACGATGCTTGTGATCACATCAATCAAATTTATAATGGAATCTTCTAAGAAAGGATAAGATTTGAGTAGTTTTTAACTCAGAATGTTAAGAAAGAATTTAATCAAAAATTGTTGGAGCTATCCTAGTTGACAAAAGCTCATATCAAGGTGATAAATGTAGAGCCTTTAAATGTTTGGGTTATTTCTGATCAATAAAGAATTTTAGAAGATGTATCTAATCAAGTTAAATAACTTATTACTACTTTGAAGGAGAAAGATGATGGCCAGAATGTCGAAATCAAAGTAGACTAAGCTTTCGGAGATTCAAATTTTATGAAAAGAATATTCGAACTAAAATAAGGCTTAAATTTGTTGCACCAACTATAAGAACAATATCAATTAGAAATATCCTACTCGGACAATAAGTTTACATTAGTAGGAGGGAGAGTTGAGGATAAGAAAAATGCTGAGAAAGTTCTAAGAAATGAACTTGCAAAGCTAAAAGAGCTTATCATAGAAGAAGAAGTGAGGGATCCTGACTTGATCTGGACATATGAACAAAGAAATCCATAGTATTGGGAGAACCTTGCTAAAGTGAAAATAAGTTTAGAACTAAGGCAATAGATGGATTAATAGCCCTAATAAGAATATGAGATATTTAAATAAAAAGCAAGAAAGAATTATATTATCATTGAGGAGACCTTATATTAGTGGTCATACAAAGTTTTCCCTACTGATCATAACTATAGTCTAAGAACAGACTTGATTGGTAACTGGTTTGATTTTGATTCAGACTAGAATGACTAAATCGAGGCCCACTATCAGTATTGTGTAAAAAGCAATATGTATGGATTGAAATATACAGTAGTTGGTGACTCTTAATAAAAGAAAAATGGATTTTAGTATCACGTTTATGGAAAGAACCATGATAGTAGTACTTGGTTTGAAGAAAATACATAAACTAAAAGAGTGAGACCTCTTAATCGAAGAGTACTTTAGACTATTTTCAGAGAAAAATATGATAGCGAAAGTGAAGATGAGGAACTTAAAGAAGAAGCAAAAATTATTAAGAATAATAACTTAAAGAAAATGATCTAAAATTAAGAAGTCCTTGTCGTTAAAGGCCTCAAAGAAGATATTTAAAAATTGCTATCTTTACTTTAATCATACTATGATGATCCTGAGAATCATCCAGAGATATTAAAGTTGAAGCAGTTTTCCAATCTCAATATTTAAAACATAAAACAAGAGTTAAGTGAATATTTCAATAAGACTTTTGCGAGAGAGTCATATATATTTGAAGACTTAGGTAGTGGTACCTAAATTAAATTTATTGGAAAAAATGCAAGTTAAATTAAATCAAAAGCTCAAGAACTCCTTAATGGTTTGAACTAGATAAAGTTTCCTCCTTATTGGTAAAATGTTGTGAAAACTTATTTAAAAGATCAAGGACTGGACACTTACATAGTCCCATAGTTATCTAAGGAATTTAAAGATATCTATGCTACGTTTGCACAGTATCAAATGAAAGTCTTGAAGATAAAGAGGATCTAGAATAAAGGTCTATGGTACTTTTTCTAGTAAGAAGCTTTATTTATCAGAAAGAAAAATTAGAAGGAACCTATCATTAAAGATCTATTTCATGGAACCACATCTAACAAACCAAGTATGATTTATAAAAGCTAGGACTCTCTTGATGTAAGATTTAGTCAGAGGGGAATGTGGGGTTTTGCTCTATATTTCACTGAAAGTTTAGGTTATATCGATAAAAATGGTTATTCTTACAAAAGCAAATCTAAGGATAACACTCCAAAGAAAAAGGTTTTCATGGCTAAAGTTCTGCTTGGAGAGAGTAAAAAGATGCCACCTTATAATGATTTGAGATTTCCTCCTTTAATGCCTGGTGAGACTACAAAAAGATATGATAGTATAACTGGAAATACCAAGCAAACTCAGGTATATATGATTTATGGAAACAGATAAGTTTATGTTGAATATGTCATTAAATATGTTATGATCTGATTCAATTTAACGCTTTTAGATTTATTTTTAAAAAATTTTAACTTGACTAGAGATTTACTTTTAAGGGGTTTTGGGGTTTTGGGGTTTTGGGG